GAGAAAAAGCAGTTGTTGACCAGAGTCCCAATGTCGAGAAACAGAATGTTCACCCTGAACATTCAGACAGAAATGGCGAAGTGTTTGAAAGCATGTGTGAAAGACACAACATGGCTATGGCATCTAAGGTATGGCCATCTAAATTTTGGAGGCCTAAAGTTGCTCGGTCAGAAGAAGATGGTGCATGGTCTGCCAGTGATCAATCATCCAGACCAATTGTGTGAAGGATGCTTAGTTGGAAAGAAATTCAGGGCAAGTTTCCCGAAGGAGTCCCTCTCACGAGCTAAAGCACCGCTTGAGCTTGTACATGCAGATCTCTGTGGACCGATCACCCCAACATCGTTCGGAAAGAACAAATACTTTCTACTGTTTATTGATGACTACAGTAGAAAGACATGGGTATACTTCTTGAAGCAGAAGTCAGACACATTTGAAGCTTTCAAGAAGTTCAAGATGCTCGTGGAGAATGAAAGTGGTCGCTACATCAAAGCCATGAGATCAGATAGAGGTGGAGAATTTATGTTGAAAAAGTTCAGAAGGTTCTGCGAATATCAAGGAATTTGCAGGTTTCTCACAGTCCCAAGATCCCCACAGCAGAATGGAGTCGTTGAGAGGAAGAACAGAACCGTCCTCAACATGGCGAGAAGCATGATGAAGAGCAAGAACCTGCCGAAGGAGCTATGGGCTGAGGCTGTTGATTGTGCAGTCTACCTGCTGAACAGGTCACCAACAAAGAGTGTTTAGAATCAAACACCCCAAGAAGCATGGAGCGGAAGGAAACCCACAATCTCTCATCTCCGAGTCTTCGGAAGCGTCGGATATGTGCACGTACCGGATCAAGAAAGGAAGAAGTTGGATGACAAAAGCAAGAAGTACATATTCCTGGGATACTCAGAACACTCAAAAGGTTACAAAATGTTTGATCCCGTGGAGGAGAAGTTGATCATCAGCAGAGACGTGGTAGTTGATGAAGAAGCAACATGGGACTGGACTACTGAAGCAAAGAAGAGTTATACTTTTTATCCATTCACTATGGATGAAAGTGATAATGAACCAAACACAGCTACACCTGTAACAAGTCCACCCAGTCATAGAGAGCCTGCTAGCCCAGAAGGAGAATCGAGTGAAAGCCCCCGAGAAAGGCCACAGAAGTATAGGAGACTTGAAGAAATTTATGAGGAAACGACAACCATTGAAGGTGATGAATTGACACTCTACTGTCATTTCATTGATAGTGAACCAGTGGATGTTGAAGAAGCCATGAAGGATGAAAAATGGAGAAGAGCCATGGATGAATAAATTGGAGCAATTGTGAAGAACAAGACTTGGGAGCTTGTGTCACTACCTGAGAACCAGAAGCCCATTGGTGTGAAGTGGGTATTTAAAGCGAAGAAGAATGCTAAAGGAGAAGTTGTGAGGCACAAAGCAAGATTGGTAGCTAAAGGGTATAGTCAGAGACCAGGCATTGACTACAATGAAGTATTTGCTCCCGTGGCGAGAATGGAGAGTATCAGGATGGTGATATCTCTCGCTGCTCAAAATGGATGGAAGATACACGGGTTAATACCTTATTTTGGCCCGAACTATGACCATATAATCAACTTTGGCCCGTGGTTTCAGAAATTAACATCCTGGCCTCAACTATGCAGCATATAGACTTAATTAGCCCGACACATAGTTTGACCGTCAATTTGGACGGTCAACTCCGTTGACCGTTAGTCAACACGCAATGTCATTGCCTAGTCAGCCTAAAAATCATTAAAAAAATGCAAATTTCAAATTTTTTTTCTAATTTTTTTTCTTATTTATTATCAAATTAACCAAAAATAAATTATAAAAAACATAAAATAAATTTGATTTATTTTTTGGATAATTTGAAAAATGATAAATTTTATAAATTAAATAAAAATTATCAAAGTATTTTATATTTTTAAAATTTCCCACAAAAATATAATTTATATCATAATTTTTAAATTTATAAAATTTATTTTGATAATTTTTGGTTAATTTATAAAATTTATCATTTTCAAATATCACAAAAAAAATTATTTTATATTTTTAGAATTTTATTTTTTGGTTAATTGGAAAATGATAAATAATAGAAATTAGGAAAATAATTTGAATTTAAATTTTTTTAATCATTTTTAGGCTGACTAGGCAATGACATGGCATGTTGACTAACGGTCAACGGAGTTGACCGTCCAAATTGACGGTCAAACTATGTGTCGGGCTAATTGAGTCTATATGCTGCATAGTTGAGGTCAGGATGTTAATTTCTGAAACCACGGGCCAAAGTTGATTATATGGTCATAGTTCGGGCCAAAATAAGGTATTAACCCAAGATACACCAGATGGATGTGAAGTCAGCTTTTCTCAATGGATATCTCGAGGAAGATATCTATATTGAGCAACCTCCTGGATACATCGTTGAAGGCCAAGAAGACAAGGTGTTGAAGCTGAAGAAGGCACTATATGGTCTGAAACAAGCACCGAGAGCTTGGAATAGCAGGATTGACAAGTATTTTCAGCAGAACGGGTTCAGTAAATGCCCGCATGAGCATGCACTATACTGCAAGGTTCAAGGGGGAGCAATATTAATGGTTTGTCTATATGTAGACGATCTCGTCTTCACAGGCAACGATCCTAAGATGTTTGAAGAGTTCAAGAAGATGATGGTTCGAGAATTTGAGATGACAAACATCGGTCTAATGTCATACTATCTCGGAATTGAAGTAAATCAAAAGGAGGAAGGAATTTTCATCTCACAGAGTGGATTCGCCAAAGAAGTCCTGAAGAAGTTTAAGATGGAGAACTGTAATCCTGTAGCACACCAGCAGAGTGTGGACTGAAATTATCCAAGGATGACAAAGGAGAGAAGGTCAATTCAACGGAGTTTAGAAGCCTGGTGGGAAGTCTGAGATACCTGCCTTGTACCAGACCAGATACTCTCTACGCAGTTGGATTAGTCAGCAGATACATGGAGGCGCCAACTATGTCATACTGGAATGCTGCAAAGAGGATACTGCGCTACATTAAAGGTACAATTGATCATGGTCTACTTTATACTAAGTCAGAAAATTTCAAATTGGTTGGATACTGCGATAGTGATTGGGCATGAGACGTCGATGATCGCAAGAGCACTACAAGATTTGTATTTTTCCTGGGAGATACAGCTTTCACATGGAGTTCAAAGAAGCAAGCTATCGTGACACTGTCAACTTGTGAAGCTGAGTATGTTGCTGCGACATCGTGTGCGTGTCATGCGATATGGCTGAGAAAGTTACTGAAGGAGTTGAATATGACACAAGAAGAGTCAACTGAGATTTATGTTGATAACAAGTCCGCCCTGGCGCTAGCAAATAATCCGGTGTTTCATGATCGCAGTAAGCACATTGATACGAGATATCATTTTTTAAGAGAATGTGTGGAGCAAAAAGAAGTGACACTGAAATATGTGAAAACTGAAGACCAGATTGCAGATATATTCACGAAGCCGCTGAAGCAAGATGTTTTCACCAAGATGAGGACGCTACTCGGAGTTACGACTAATTAAACTTTAAGGGGGGAGTGTTGTAATGAAATAAAGTTTAATTATTAAAACATCAAAATATCAGAACTTCCTGGAATTATGGAGTATGTGTATGGGTGGGAATGTGATGACGTTGGAAGGACATTGTGATTAAAGAAAAGAAAAAAATCAGGAGCCACAAGAGAGAGGCGGTTCCCAACTGCCATTTTTAATAAGCTCCAGACTTTTGTGTAGTGGAAGTAGTATAAATAGCTTGTATGGGTTTGTGTAATGGTGCAGAGCAAAAAGCAAATATATATAAAAAGAGTTCCTCTCTTTCTATACAATCTCTGCCAACCTCTCCTTCCATAAAATTCTCTTCCCTTGTCCAAATAATAAACCCAAACCTCCCACTCTCTCTTACAAACGTGTAACACTATCACAACAAACTCAAAGTTTCATTTAGCCCATAAACGAGCCCACCACAGCCTAAAGGAAATCATTATATTATTTCCAACAGAATCCTCGATTCTCTGGTATCATTCCCGACCGCGAAACCCACCGTCATCGTCCTTTCCAAAACTCGACCACCCACTCTGTAAGTACCCGTCATTCTTCTTCATATATCGTCACATGTACTCTCATCAGGCCGCCCTCGAAAGCACATTGATTTTCCTTTTTTGGTTTCATCTCGTGTTGTCGGTCAACACCTCTTCTTAATTTGAACTCACTTTTCTTGTAAATTGATCCGCAAGGCTGCTGTAGCCTGTAAGTTCCAGCTTCCCTGAAAAGTTCCAATTTTGAATGCTTTGTTGGGAACTTGGGATCGTTGATGGGCAATTGTGGGCTTTGTTGCACATTTTTCTCAACATTCAAACCAGAGCCAGGAATTCTGCTACTCTCTTTGTATCTATGGTTTAAGAATTTTGTCTTACTGAGTTGCCCGGTTGCAGGTCGTCGAGTTTTTCTTCTCCGGATAGTCAACTTCCATGTCTGCCCCATTGACTTCTTCCAAGAGACCGAATGATCAGAATGTTATTGAATCGAATGGGAAAGGGAAGTTGCTGAAGACACAAAATTACCATGACCAAAATTTGGGATCTTCCCCTATAAATGTATATTTCAGAGTGTTGTGCTCTACTTCCAAGGTTGACTGTGTAATTGGGGAAGATGGTGAGGCAATAACTTGCATCCACGAAGAAACAAGCTTGAATGTCAGAGTTGATGAGGCTGCAGCTTGATGTGATGAGTGGGTTGTTGTAATTGAGAGTTCTTCTAAAGAGACAGAAGGAGGTGACGTTGCAGAGAGCAAGAAGGAAGAAGGTAATGGAGAGGCTAATGTAGCAGTAGGACAAAAGGAGACCGACAATGCAGATGACTCACAGCCTGTGAAGGCTTTACTACTCATCTTTGAACGACTTGTTGAAGCATAAACAAGTTGTTCATCCTGCTCTCTAGTCAAGTTGGTTGCATCTAGGGTAAGGGTGGCAGCATGATCAAGCTGATGACAAATGAAAGTGGTGCACAGATCAGGATCATTCCCAGGGATAAACTTCCAACATGTGCATCGGCTCAAGATGACATGGTTCAGGTAATACTGCATGATCCCTCGTGATCTACTAGTTAGATTCATGTTTCCTCTTATCTGTTTAGTTGATCTCCAAATTTGCCATATTGGTTTCATTTTTGTACCACTCCTTGTGTTTAGCAGTTATTGTTCCTTGAGCTCATTAATACTTGTGTTTTTCAATTACTTTTTACATTGTTCCCAAAAGTCAGTTTGCTGCCATGCTTGTAATATTTGTTCTTCATTTGTTGCTTGTAATGTTTTAGATCACCAGAGAGATTGATGCTGTTAAGAGAGCTCTTCATTTAGTTTCTATGCAGTTTTTGGGAAATACCGTTAAGGATCATAATTTGGGTTCTGCCACATCGATTGGGATTTCATCTCAGCCCTTGGATCATCCTCATCCAACGGAAGAAGCTAATCCACATGCACATCATTTTGTTGTTTCACGTCGACCACCATACCCTCCTGGACCTCTTGTATACTAACCTTCCGCTTACTATGTCCTGAAGAGAATGTAGGAGGTGTCTTTGGGAAAGGAGGATATTTAATAAAGGGGCTCCAGCTAGAAACAGGTTATGAGATTAAAGTTATGGAAGTTGTCCCTGATTGTGCAGTCCGTTTGATAGTTGTCTCTGGTTTAGTGGTATGGCCTCTGGCACGTTCATCTTTTCAATCCCATCCTCCTTTTTTATTGGTTCAGTCATTTATTTTTACTGGCAATATATTTACCCTATTTCCAGGATTTGTTTCCTTTATGATCATTCTCCTTTTATGCATAATCTTCACTCTTCACCTCAACTTGCTTATAGGTAACGTATCTCTTTTATGTCTGAATAATTCGATTTTACATATTGGATTGGTATTCAGATTGCGTAGTTGCTGTATCTCTTAACTTCTCATTGTTGCCAATTGGATGTCAGATTTCTTATGGAAAATTACCCTCACTGACCCAAAGCCTGGAGCAACAGAGACCATTATAATCATATCCGGGACACCCGAACAGACAAATGCTGCACAATGTCTTATCCAAGCCTTTGTGATGAGTGAACACGAGCCTGCTTGAGCATTCCAGTTCAGTTTCCGTCAACAGAAGAAGTGAGTATTACGTTTGCTACTAGATGTTTTCCTGGTTCACACAACATCCAATATGGGCTTCACCTATTTATGTTGCCGCTCTTTAAGGATAGTCAATTACTTACCTTCAAGTTCGTCGTTATATAAGTAGAAGCTCTGACATAGGAAAGAAGGCTACAACACGATTTAATGTTCCGGAAACTACTAGGCACTATAGCACACAAAAAGAGTGCCCAAATTCTTTCCTCTCAGTCCTAAGAACGAATTATTAGGAATGAGTGTAAAGATACTATAGTAAGTTTCTTTCTTATTCACCACTTTTGAAAGGTTGGTATGTTTTCACAGACTGGATCAGGCCTTCCACAGATCCGACTGCAGCGACAAGGGACACTACCAGGCATGTCCAGCTCAATATTTTCAGCCACGTCCAGGTGATGGAGTACTTGGGAATCTTGGCTCTTGCAATGTACATCTCTATGGGGAAATACACGGTCAACGGCCAGAACGATGCTGCCCCAATGAGCCCCAAAAAGTCGTTGAAGAACGGGAAGATCATCGCGAGGACAACCGTCACCACCACGTATGCAGACCTCCAGACAAGCCTAAACAAGTTGAAATAGATGGCCCCGATGAATGGCACGGTGATCGGGTGCTCCCTGGTGATGAACTTGTTTTCGGGCCATTTTTTCTGGCAGTTGCTCTCCACAAAGCTGAATATCGGCTGGCAGAAGACCTGTAGAAAGCAACAAGTTAGTTCTTTCTTATGGTCCGACTGAGCCAGTGTATGGAGAAAATGGTAGTAGGGGGATCGAGGAGGGTTTTGTTATACCTGGTAGGCGCCTACGAGGTGGATTGCGATGCAGATGTTGGCGATATCGATCAACCAAAAAGGCTCGTAGAACCCGAACCCAGTTAGGAAATTGCCTGGGGCATTGTTGCCAAATGCAGCGTAGCCGACACAACCGCACAGGACGTAGAAAACGGTGGTGGTCGTGATCCCGGCAAGACTTGCCCTTTTCATTTCCTTGTTCTCCGGTGGGCTTGATCTCAGGGTGTCCTGCAAACCAAATCGAGAGCACAACATATATCAGCCTTTCAGAAGATCAAGAGACGAAAACATGTCTAGTTTCTGTTGGAGGGAGAGGACGAGTCCAATCCATCGCATTCGAAGGCCCAAACAAAGAAGGTGGGCCCGCCCAATTGCTATGGTGGACGGTGCATGGCGAATCTGCTGGTGGCCCATCAAATTCCAAAGGTAAGTTACAAGAGATGCGGCTAAATGCAGGACTCCTACTTTATATAAATAAATGGTCCATCAATTATCCTTCACGTGATTCATCAATCAAGTAGTGGACTACGCTACTACAACCATGAAGATGATTGAAGATCTGTTATAATAAAGAGACGCGTGGCCGAAGGAGGAAAGTGACAAAATGGGTTGGGTTTGGTCCCTCACCCTAGACTTGACGTTATGTGGATGGTTAATCAGAAAACCTTATTATTAGAAGAAGAAGTAAATCATCTGTTTGATGACAAGTGCAAGTTGACAAGTCCCAAGGCTTCATTTTGTTTCTGGTCCTGGCTCCTCCTCCTACCTAAACAAAGGGATTTCAAGACCATTCTTCCGTAGCTAGGGCTGTAAGTGTAAGTGTGAAGGAAGGTTTCAGAAAAGATTTTGACAGCTAGGCTTTTTGGAAAGTGATTAGGAATATTTGACTTTAACTACCTTTTTCCACTGTTATTTTCAACTACCTAGCTAATAACTGTAACTTTTGAGCTATTTAGGAATATTAGACTTTAACTACATTGCCCACAGATCTTGGGCCGGGAATTCAGCAGGCAGAGGCAGGGACACAGATAATAAGTGGCCGGTGAATGCCAAGCAGAGTCAGAGAATGGCCATGTCCATTCATGACGATGAGAATAATTAAATATGACCAATGTTAAGGTTGATGTGGTGGCACACATTTCTATATGAGCCCTCGAATCGGTTCTTTTATTTCATTCCAATTCTTATGTTTACCGTTTGCATTGATCATCCATAATTCTGTAAATACCAACAATTTCAATCAACACGTACAAGTAGGTAAATCTTTCGTTCCATCTAGTCTCCCCATGTGCCATAATATGTACGACTTTATTTCCTTCTCTAAGCACATGATATATATTTAATATTTCTCATTCTCATTTTTTTTTTTTTCAGAAGCATTTTCAACTCGCTAGTACTTTGCTTTCCATTTTTTGACCTACCTATCCTACAGTACTATGGAGCAGAGGTTGGAGCAAATTTTAAGTCGGAAATTATTGGATGCCTTAGCTAGCTATCTAGATGAATGTTAGGTTAGGTGATTAGTCCATCACTATCCGGCGACGGAGACTCCAATACTGAAGAAATTATATTCTTACTCGGTTAGGTATTTTATTAGGACCACCACTCTCATCTTTAACCTTGCATGTGAGCTTAATCATAATATATCAAAGCAACAAAGGCCAGCTCACACAAAAACAAAAAGGCTTATACACAACACACGTATATTATACAGAACCCGTGATTTCAGTGTCCCTTTCTGTACCCGTTGGAGTAAGGTTAAAGACTTAAGCTTATCAATGAAGTAGGTAGGAACTAGGAAGTATATAAGTTGATGATGAACTTGCCTGGATTTCGATGAGAATGGTGGAGTAGGCATAAGCAAAGGCAATGTCCCCAATGGCTTGGAACGTTCTCCACACTTTCTGCGCCGCCGTCACCTCCACCCCTACTGTAACTCCCGTCAACGTCGTCCGGACTCCCTTCCGGTCGCCTCCTAGAATCCAATAACATTTTTAAACGACATTAATTATCATACTAGCTAGTTACTGATTCGTATTAAGCAGGTTTAATAATAATAATTACCTGCAACCGTGGCGACGGAGAGGCCCAGCCCAATAATGGAGTAGGCGAAAGACATGACGGCCGCCAGAATGGAGAGCCACGACAGCTTGTGGAAGTTTGGGATCTGGCTAAGCACCAACTGGATGCACCCGAAGATCGCCATGTACGGCGTGTTCGACACGTGGCACTTGTCCGCCCCGTGCCCTTCCTTGTGGAAGCAATTCGATCTCTTCACCGCCCTATAAAGTATAAACAACACCACACGTACGTCACAAAATAAATAAAGTGAAAAGAAAATTTTATCCATGGTTGGTTGGCAGCTAATTAATAAGGTAGCTATCTTACACGATGCTGATGGAGGCGGTGATGGTGTAGCCGACGGTGATGCCGACGAGGTTGCCGTACTGGGCCAGGCCGCAGAGCTGGACCTTGCGGCCGCCCAAGTGGGCCCGGACGGCGTCCATGTAGGTGTAGTTGCGGTGGCCCGTGACGGGGTCCGGGGAGCGGTAGGCGTCGGCGAGGAGGGTGGAGGTGAAGAAAGTGATGAAGGAGAATGCCATGAGGACGACCGGTCCGGCCACCCAGCCCAGTTGCGCTATGGCCCAAGCCAGGGACAACACCCCGGACCCTATCACCGCCGTTATGATGTGCGCGCTCCCAGTCACCCATGTCCCTGCAACGTTTCGTTATATATATTTAAAAAAAAAGGAGTTAATTAATTGTTGTTAGCTAGGTAACGTGGTGATTAAACTAATTAATTGGTAATAACTAGTTACCCGTTCGCTTGGGGCGGCCGTCGTCGTCGAGGGCCTTGCGGGAATCGAATTGGACGGCGCCGTTTTTGTTGGTGGTGTAGGCTTCGGGGTCTTGATGGTGGTGGTGTTGTTCTAAGTTCATGGCGGTGCTGGGATTCGACATCTTCTAATACAATCAGTTGCAGCTTTTTTTCTTTTTCTTCTAGCTTTTAGTGGTCACCTGGATTTGCAGGGAAGAAGAAGAGGAGGTGGGAGGCAGAGAGTGATGGGAGTTATTATGGTAAAAGGAGCACGGTGGGCAGGGAGAGTGAGAGTGAGAGTAAGAGAGAGCAATTGGAGGAACGTAACGTGGTGTTATATATAGAGAATGAAGGCGAGCTACTTTAACATTTCGTTTGCTTTATATGAGATAAAAAAATAAAATGTGTCGTCAATAGTACTATTGACTAGTTTTTGAGGTCGTGGCACTAATATGTGAAAGATCAACAACGATTTTTTTTTTTTTTTTTTTTTTGATACCCAGGAACCTCAGCCCCACGTGCCACTTTGTGACAGCGGGTCCTACTAAACCTGGGGGCCACCTGCATTTAATTTGACGCCAACGGGGCTTCGCCCCCAGCAGCCTTGTACCTCCGGGAACACCAACGGGCCTCGCTTGGATTCGAACCTGGGATCTGCAACTCCCAAGCCTTCACTGTTTGACTAGGTTTGAAAGCAGATACTATATTTAAGATTTCTAGCGATTTTAAGTAGAATTGTTTTAAGAAGTTACTTTGATGAAGTTATATTACATTACATGGTTTTGTTGATGTCGACGGTAATTATGTAACTGAAAGTTTGCATGCTTATTTACAAATTTAATTATTTATTTTATGCACATTATAATTATAAAATGATTAAAAATAAATTATATTGATAAGAATTATTTAAGTAGGTGTTTTTTCTTTTTTTGTTTTCATTAGAGAGAACAGTAGTGTGCATAACTAATCATTTAAAGACAAAATCCAAGATTACTTAAGTATATCCCTGGGAGGTAGAATTTCAAAACTGACTAATTAACGGGCCTTGATTACGGTAGGTAGCTAGCAGTCAAACTTGAAAAGGCAGGCAGCATCCATGCCATATTGCCATGTGATTCTTCTCCGCAACCTTATTAGCTGATTGCCACGTATCCGACCAAAACAACCAATTTACTGTTTTCCTTGTTAATTAATAATATTTTCCCCGCTGCAGTCACTACTATTTGCCTATTTTAAGCTCAAAGCATTATTGGTTTAAGGATACGTAGCACAGTCTATAACTGCCAAGTGCTTGGAGTCAATCTCAGCTTTGTGACTACTCCATCTGCTATTTCTCATCCCTTTAATTTTGTGGTAGTTAATTTATTTCTAATCAAAGCAAAAACAAAGGGTGGTCCATAAAATTTTTAAATAGAGGGTGCAAATTTTTATTTAATATCAACAAATTTGATGTTCTGTATTGCTTTCGAGTCTCGAGTTCAAGTTTAATCCTCAAAGCCTATATTATTCGGGAAAATTCTATTTAAAACTACTGACAAAGTTATATAAACTGGAATTGCCCGTTCTTATTAGCTTTCCAAATATTTCTGGGAACCAGACTAGCCAAGGACCCTTTTTTTTTTGTGTGGTCATAAACAAAAATGGAAGAAAAGTGGGGAGATGAGACATAGCATGCTTGTTGCTGCCGCAGCCCTCGTGGGTTGGGGAGGATGATATTGATATGTCATATTATCGTATCTATGAATTCCACCTTTCATAACAGCATGTTCATCAGTCTCCAACTTATTTATTGAAATGATTAAGATGCACATGCGTGTTGCATACCTATGATACCCTGGAATGAAGGGTTGTGTTATTTGTAGTTCTATCATATAGAGTCGTTTGGATGAGGAATTTAACGGATTAATTTGACCTAATTATTTTGTTTTGTTTTGAAACAATCGGTTCAAATGGAAATTTATCCATTTGACAACAAATAATTTAGATGAAGCAATTTTGCCTGGGAAAATTGACACATGTTGAGGCAATTACAATTATCTGAGGCGGGAGCAGACAATTCGAACTGACTCGTTTTAAATTACTCATTTTATAAAGTGAGGCAATTACATTTTATTTGTTGTTAATACTTAATCTGGTATAACATTTTCTAAAAAAAGATCATTGCAAACCTAAAATTAAGAATTCCAAAAATTTATGAATGTTCAAAATGATAGGCAAGTTTTAACGGACTTTTTGGTTGATCATAAATTCTAACAATCAACCTTTTTAGCATAGTGCGTTATGGCACTTGCTAATGTGGATAACACAACTTTGCCTCGCATTTAAAACTCTCACTTTTGGTCTTATAATAATATTATAGAGCCATCTCTTTTTTTCTTTTTTATATAATACTTCGCATACTAAACACGTATAAAATGTATAATAAATATATTTTACAAATTGAATTGATCATTTAATAAATTTTATAGATAAGCTATAATTGATTTGCCAAATCTTTCAAACTTTTCAAATTATGAGCGAACCCTTCAAAATACAAAATTTTAGCCAAATGTTTTTTTTTTATAATGGTGAAATAAATTAAATCAAATCAAAGGAACAAACAGACAATCCGAAAAACAAAAAGCAGCAAGCAGCAAACACAGGCCGCAACAGCTGAAAAACACAACTAGCAGCTCGCAGGCCGTAGCAGATGAAAGAAACCAAGAGGAGCCAGGGAAAACAAAGTAAAGAAAGAGAGGGCAAGCTGACAAGATGGCAAGAGCAAAACGGCAATCAGAACATCATGAAGCCGGGTAACAAAACACCAGCAGCACAGCAGACAGATCCTCATCAGAGAGACAAACAGCAATCGGCAAATGGTCATGAATGCAATAGATTATTGGCAGCTGGGGCAACTGGGGCAACAGTGTCATCAAACTCCACCGCGTCGCTTGGCAGGGCAGGCTCGTCAACACGTCCAGGACATAGGTGACTCTTGAAGGCACGCAACCAGGAGTTGGCGATCTCCCTGTCAACAATCTGGGCAGCGCTCAGCCAATCAGCGATGCAGCGGACAATCTGAAAGGCGACAACCTGAGCAGACACCCCCTCATCTCTGAAAATCCTGGAGTTGCGTTCTAACCAGATGCGCCAACAGAAGGCGTGGAGGAAAATCAGGGAACACCACCCTTTAGGAGTGGCCGGTTTCGCAGAAGGCCACCTCCTTATCAGGTCTGAGATGTCTGCAAATGAGGAAGAGATGATCGATCGACTCCTCCTAATCACCACACAGCACACAACGACTTGGGAGAGCCCATCCTCTATGTTTGAGCGCCTCTTGAGTAAGAATTTTCTTCTGAAACACGATCCACAAAAACACAAAAATCTTTGGAGGAACCTCAGGTCGCCATACAACTTTGGGAGGAAAAGAAGTCGAGTCGGGGAAACAATCCTTAATGCACTCGGTGTAGCAAGAGTGGGCATTGAACCCAGTAGTTGGGGAAGGATCCCAAACCAGCCAGAAGGACCTGCAAAGAAAGTATCAGCGGGTAATGCACTAAGCAAATTTAATAAGGAAACTCTCTCACACTCAGCCCCCCTCTCAAAGAAAATTTCAATGGAATATCCCACAAGACTCTCCCCTCAGACAAAGTGACGACATCAGAAATCCCGCGATTAGGCGATTCCGCAGCAGCAACGACCCTATGGAATTCTTCGCCAAGAAGCCGTCCATTTAACCACACTTCATGCCAAAAGAAAACCCCTGACCCTGCACCATCTTCCACGTGAGCAAAACTCTAGAACACTTTCTTAGTCTCCAATTTGCACCCAAGGACTCACTCCACAAGGACCGAGTCGAGTCCCCGACATCCACTCAGACGTGGAATTAGGGAACTTGATCGAAATAAGTTCCCTCCACCAAGTATCCCGCTCCACAGCAAAGCGCCACCACCATTTACACAACATGGACTGATTACGGAGCCTCAAGTCAGAAATACCTAAGCCTCCTAAGCGTTTCGGAGCCTTGCACACATCCCAGCAAACAAGATGAAATCTCCTCTCACTCTGGCGGCCAGACCAAACAAAATTCCACTGCAGCTTCTCAAACTTATCAATGATCGAACACGGAGCAGAGAAAATACTGAACATGTAGATAGGTTAACTTGCTAAAACCGCATTACATAAAGTGACACGCCCAGCCAAAGAAAGATAAGAAGCCAACCATACCTCCAACCGCCGACCCATTTTACTCAGAATAGGATTCCAAATAGAAGAAGAAGTAGGGGACGCACCAAGCGGAAGCCCAAGGTACTCCGTGGGGAGATAAACCAAAAACGTCGGGCCTCAAACTGAATCCTTATTTCCATTGCACAATTTCAAAGGAAAGAGACGAGCTCTGATTAAGAAATGTCAACTATTTATACTGATAACGTTTATTAGGTACAGATTCTCTAACGGTTTCTAAACGGTCTAATGCCGGTTGGACCACTAAAGTGCGAGTCGTTCGCATTACCGGGTCACGCTCCGGGTTTGTTCTGAAAATATTGATATTTTGAGGACTTATATGCCAAAAAATAAATTTAGATTATAAATGTAAAGATCTATTAAGTTTAGGTACAAAATTGGAATTTGCATAGTTGAGGCTTAATTCCTTTTATGGTGATGTATTTAAAATGATAATTATTTACTTTTTATAGAACAATGGAAACTATTTATTTGATATGTGTAGATACCTAGCTAAACATTCCATTTATAATTGTTGAAAATTCTAGCCCGGGTGAAAAGCAAAACTCTAGAGAGAAGCAAAAGGAATACAAACTTGAACTCGCTTAAAATTTCACGCCTTCAAATCCCATAATGAAAAATGAGGACTTTCTAATAATTAATAACCATATATATTTATTTTTAATTGGACTCGACATTGAGCTGAAAAAGTTAGTGGTTCATGGTTCAATTATTAGTTCTCTAGACTACTGATGAGTCGTGTATGGACCCGTTCATACTTGTGATTAGAATACATAAAAATAGTATACTAATTAGGGTTAGACGAACAAGGCAAAGAAAGAAATAAAGAAAGGGTTATGGAAGGCGAGTAAAAAATGAAACGAAGAGGAAGTAGATGATGGAAAAGATTTGACTAATTCTTTTAGTTGGTCGTCAATACAATAGTCAACCCTTTCGCCATAGCAAGTTATTGACACTTGCTTATGTAGAAGTCACATTTTTTGTTACATGTAATTAGTATGAGTTTGTTTAGTGCCCCATAAATGTATTAAATGAGTCTATAAATTCGCTCTTGCAATATTTTAGAGTCGTCTCTATTTTATCATTTATTTAATGTTTCACGTGATGAGCAAATATAAAATGGTCGAA